CTTCATTTCGAGAGGTTTGGAGTATAAGAGTAGGGAAGTCTTACTGCAACTGTACAAGGTGCTGGTGAGACCACATCTGGAGTACTGTGAGCTGTTTTGGTCTTCTCATTTAAGGAAAGATATTACTTCATTGGAGGCAGTTCAGAGAAGATTCACTAGGATGATCCCTGGTACGGATGGATTGCCATATAAGCAAGCGTTAAACAGTTTGGGTCTCTACTCATTGGAATTTAGAAGAATGAGAGGTGATCTCACTGAAACATGTAGGATTTTCAAGGGACTTGGAAGGGTAAATACAGAGAGGATGTTCCCTTCTTACAGAATATAGGACTAGAGGGCATAGTCCCAGAATAAAGGACGCCAATTTAAGACTGAGATGAGGAGGAGTTTCTTCTCTCAGGTGTGTTGAGAGTCTTTGGATCTCTGTGCCTCAGAAGGCTGTGGGGGCATTTGTGAATATTTAACGCTTGATCAGTAGAGCAATCAAGGGTTACAGGGAAATTGCGGGCAAGTGGACATGAGGAATGTTGGATCAGCCACGAACCTATTGAATAGTGAGTGTGCTACTCCTAATTCTATTTCTTATGGTCACGTCTAGAGAAGTTCCCCAGGGTGAATCAGCTGCTTATTTCATGGAGGTGGAATGCTGATTGGCATAACTAAGAGACATAAATAACTCACAAATTAGAGGAGTGTAATGGATGTGGGCTTAATGAAAGCCTCTGACAAAGGACCACACGGGAGATTATTGGAGAAGGTTAAGGGTTATGTGTATAGGGGTGTAAGGTTATGAAAGGGTTAATGCTGAGGAGTACCTTAAGCACAACCACCATGATGATGTGAGATAGAGTGGCTGATAGATAAGTTTAGCATCTTGAAAAGGTACAATCTACCACCTGAGTCTTCTTCATAGACTCTGTAGCAGAGGGGGTGGATATTACATGTCCCTTCCAGGTGTATTTTCAAAGTGGACACATGTAAAATAGATTGAGTGGCTCAATCACCAACTTCCCACTCATCGCCAATATGGTTTCCATAACAAAGTCTATCAGATCACAGTAACTTGTACATCGTTGCTGTCATTGTTATGACCAGGTGAGGACAGGCTATCAGGTGCCATCTGCTTAACCCGTTCTTGATCAGTCAAAGACTGAGAGGTGCAGAGGAAAGCTTCTATACAGACTAGAAGGAACTCATCGCAGATTAAAAACCGAAAGAACTGCGGTTGCTGTGAATCAGGAACAAAAACAAAACTTGCTGGAAAAGCTCAGCAGATCTGGCAGCATCTGTGAAGGAAAAAACAGAGTTAACGTTTCGGGTCTGGTGACCCTTCCTCTGATTGCAGAATAAAATGTTATAGAGGCCTTGAGCCATGGGAGTGAAACCTGAGTACCAATGGTTATCCAGTTTCCTCAGAAATCGTGAAGCTTGTAGATGAATTCTCAGTGAATGATATTTTCCCAAGATAGCAGGAACTGCAGATGCTGGAGAATCTGAGATAACAAGGTGTAGAGCTGGATGAACACAGCAGGCCAAGCATCATCATAGGAGCAGGAAGGCTGAAGTTTCGGGCCTAGACCCTTCTTCAGATATTTTTCCAAGTTGCTTTTTCACGGAGCACTGACTTTTGAGGTTGAAAGAGAGGCCGGCAGAGAGAGTGTCTTCCAGCTCTTGTTTATAAATCCACTCTTCCTTGCCTCTGCTCTGTTAACAGCTGTTGATATAGGCCCATTTGTAAATTTCTGAGACTGCTCATTGCTTATCAAGCTGAACACACTGCAGATAACCTTTCAACTCAATGTGTAACTCTCAGAAAGCTGTGTATCAACTGGGAAATACACATCGGAGTTTTAGTGTCCTCTTATAATAAGATTAATTTTAGGTCAGACTGATCCTTGTTTACTGATGATTTTTTTGAACTTGGCTGAAACTGGTCAGGTGATGGCAGCAGCCATTTTTGGGTCAGTATTTGTCCATTTTCTAATAATTTTTTAATCCATTAAGATATCTGGTATTACAAACAGATGATGGAAGTTGAATACCAATGGTCCATTTTTACCGTGATCATAACATCCAGCAATATCCTGCATCTTGTTGAAGACAAGAGCCTCTGATTTCATTACCAAGTGGTCTTCCTTTATCACACAATACCAAACAGGACCTGTAGCTCCCTACCCTGGAAGAGAATGGAGCAGCAAATTTACGTTATAGTGAGCAATAGTTCAGATTGCTCATGCATGCTACTCTTCCACTGAAGTTCAGAAAGCGTCCGAGGAAAGACTGAATAGGTTGGGGTTGTTTTCCTTGGAGCAGACAAGACTGAAGGGGGACATGATTAAGATGTATAGATTTATGAAGGACTTAGGTGGTAGAATCAAAAACCCTCACAACATTCTTGTGATGGTTATTTTTGACTGGTGTAGGCTTGATGGGCTGAAGGGCCCTTCTGTGCTGTAGACCACTATGACCCCAACATTGATAAGAAGAAAGAAAAGAGATAAAAAAAAAGATGAAATTCAATTTCACTTTGTGTGAAGTTATTCATTTCAATTTTTAAAAAATCAACATATTCTGAATGGAAGCGGATTCAGTGTTGTGGAATTAAAGCATGATATCTATAGAGTTCTGAACAACGTGGGCTTTGGTGAGTTATGTGGTCCAGTGAGGCCCATCTCAACATCAAGATCATCTCATTCCTTCTTCTATGCTGTTTGCATGCGATGTGGTGACATTTTCACCAGGGTGTTGTCAATTGGCAGGGATTAACACTTGTTTAAGCTCTTTTTAGATGACCCAACTTGCCTCATTAATGTTCAGGATCCAGACTTCACTCATCCAACCAACTTGAACTGGAAAAACTTAACATAGAAATCAGAGCATGTACCTGGTGGATTCAGCTCGTCACTTGCTCCAAATGGCTTCTATGTTGGAAACCAGACACAAACATTTCAGATCATGCTGCTGGAGTACTGGTCACACTCACCCCATGTCCAAGGACACTGGCACCTGATGTGTGCCAACCTCCAAGTACCCTGATGGCACATCTCTGATTCATCTTGAGGTCATTTCTGTACTTCAACCCTGCACCCCAGACCGAACAATCCAGCAACAATCATTGCAATGTTGCAGCAAGGACACTGTGTGCTCAGGGACACACATCCAGCTCATGGACCAGACCAAGCTGCATTTTTGAGTCCTTCGTCTACTGTCATAGTGCACACTCACGCTGAGGCTACCTGAATGTTCACAGCATCCCTGCCTTGCATTGCCTTGCTACACTGCAATTTATCCCCTCAGCCAGGGAGATCAGGCTAATATTACTGCTGTCTTGTCATGCCATTAAGCACAGACACAAATCCAGGAAGCTCGGGATAGCCTTGGATCAGGGGTCGCAGCACAGTAAGTCAAGGGCAGACTCTGACATCAGTTCAGTCCCCTTTAGGGCGGTCAGATTCAGGATGCTCTCCTCAAAGGGGTGAGGAGTTGAATGACAGGCAGTACACCACCAACCCGAAGTCTTTCTACCCTCCTGCCTTTTTCCTCCTGGAACGAGAGAGTGGCAGACATTAAGGGAGATGAAATTGGGTGGCACTGCTATTACTGTTGGCTCAGGAGGGGAGATGTCCTTAGCAAAAGAGTAGGCAGCACAGAGGGAATACAGGGTTAGTGATGAGAGAGAACATGTAGGAAAGACGTTGCAGGCAATTGAGAATGGTAGAGCAAGAGCCTTAGTGGGAGGTGGATACAGCAGCAGAGATGGAGTAAAAAAAGGAATTGGCCTTCTTCCTACAATGCTGGGCATTCCTGCAAAAGGTTGAGATTGCTTCAACCCAGGTGGCAACTTTGGACAAGACTGGTATGATCTGTTGTCATGGCATTTGCTGCTGATCCTAGGGCAGGAGGAAGTCCTATGTCAACACCATCCCATACAGCAGGACCTCCTGGTCCTTGCCTATAAACTGGGGGCATGATTTCACCCATCTACCATGTCAGGAATTGTGCAGGGCAGATCTGAACTGGCAGTGCTTGTCCACGTGCACAAGGGGTGTTTGCAGATGGCATGGATGTAAAGGATGCCGGTGAATTCTGGGATATTGCTGAGTGCCGAGCCATTGTGGGAGTGGCACACGGTAAGATAGGGTGGAAATCAGACGCTACAGGCGCACAATAGGTAATTATTAAGGCAAGTTTGCACGATATGGCAAGAAAACTCACTGAGCCTCGCAATGAAAATCAATCTACACAACTCAACACAACTTGTACTTAGCCAAAAAACATAAGATTCAACCCACCGAATTTGCCACAAGAGGCATAAAATTAAAAGCCAAGAGATAATATTGATTGTATTAAAAGCTTGCTGCTACCACAACTGGAGTACTGCATGCAGCACTGTGTTCCACACCATAGGAAAGATGTTTAAGCTTTACAAAGGTTGCGATGCAGAGTCATTTGGACAATGCTGTGTGTGAGGAATTACAAATACGGAGAACAGCTTGAAAAATCATGTTGAATTAAAAATGATAGAAGTGCTTAAAATTATGAAAGCAATCGTCAACTGATTTATTTCTGTTTGTGCTACGAAAGATCCCACAGCACTATTCGAGGAGCATGGCATCCAGCTAACATTTGTGCTTCAATTAACAACACTGAAACAAATTGTCTGGTCACAGCTCATTGCTCTCAGTGGAATCTTGTTGAATGCAAATTAGCTTGTGATCAGAACCACAACTATAATTCACAGGACTAATTAATTATAAAGCACTAGGTGAGATTTCCAATGTCACAAAAAGCCCTATATGCTTTTCTTTCTATGATTTGTTACAAAGATATAATTTTAATATTAACTTTCAAATAATTGTTTTATAAAAAAAAACTCAATATGACTGGTGGAAAATACATAAATTACCCCAAAATTCACATTAGTCACAGGATCCTGCATGCATTGTACAAAGTTAAAATATTGAGGGGTTTACTTGATGGATGCCATTATAATAATTTACCATGTGTTATGGGTTTTTTCCTCCTTATTGATGCCTTGATCAGGTCCACCCCAAGTAAAGAATTCCGGTAACGTTTTGCTTTAACTTCCTCAAACCACAGTCCAGTAACCAGCTTCCTTCTCTTTTCATCTTGAATGGATTTTTGTGCTGTCCTGCAACGAGAGCAAAGAGGTTTTTCACTCAGACAGGATTCAGTTTCCTCACATACAAAAGTTACATTCCAGTGTCATAAAATCTCCCGGTAAAGCAGGGAAACTTACAAGAAGGCGAGGGCGGAGGAGGGAGTAAGACTATCCTTCTGCAAGTTTGCAAGTGCGTCACCATAACCGGTATAATAGACAATCACAAACCAAAATTCACAAGTGAATCTTAGCAATTAGATTTCAGAACTTAAAAGATTTTAAAAAGGAGTCAACAGCATATATATTTAATTGATCAATGCCATGGTGTGCACACATTATTAATTAAGAGAATGTTTCAAGGCCACATGTGACAGGATTAACTCTGGTCTGTTCCTCCAAATTCCGGTGTGCAACTGAAGGCGACATCTAATTGGGAGACAGCAAACATGCAACTGAAGCTTCACTGGTGGCTGAAGCATTGCTGCATTTTAACAAGCTATGAACTAATATTTCAATTTAATGTTACGTTTGTACGGCACATAATAAATTGGATAATACTTCCACCAGTGTGTCATTACCACATAATACATGATATTATTACACTTTTAATGTTGAAACTGTCTTTTATGAGATAGATTAGCCTGAAGCTATAAGCCTAATTGCTAAAATAGGCTCAAATCAGTTTGATCAGCAGGGTTTCTGCAATATAATAGCCCGAATCTTCTAATCAGCGTCAGAACCACTGCCTATTGCTGAGCAGACTGAAAACTGAGCAATTACATGAATATGTTTTGAAAGGCCAGAATTCCAATGCAACTGCCAGAAACTTCCCTCGGCACAGGTATCCATGCAGAGAACAGTGAAGAGAATCAGTTGCAGAACAGATTCCATTTTTACAGCACAGGCTACCATAAGGTTATTTTAAATTACCAGAGTGAATGTTAGTGATGGATGAATGTTTGTAACTGGATAAATGAGTAAATGGGTAGAGAGGTAAAGTGTGTAGTTAAGTGGGTATGTGAACAGGTTGAGAGGTGGTAAGGTGGTAGGTGACTAGGAAGGGAAGCGAATAGGGTGGTGCTTGGTTGGACTGTAGGTTGGTAGGGTGACAGGTGGTTAAAGTGGCTGGTGGATACAGAGTAGTAGCAAGGTTATGGTATTAGTTAGGGATGGTGACAGATGGGGGTCCGTTTTTGATGTGAAATTGCAAATAAGGAAGAACTAAAGCAGCTTGCTTATCCTGAAGAGTTGTAGCATTTGCAACAGTGCTTCAACCAGACCTCAGTAGTTGTTAGCCCCTTCTGGAAAGTCCTGAACTTGTGCAAGCTGCTTTAGTTGTTCCATATCTGCAATTTAACCTCACAGATTTGCACTAGCCTCCACACCTATTCATCAAATACTGGTCTAGCCAGCAACCACCACCATGAAAGAATATGGTCAGGTTGGGGTGGTAGTCAAGATGTCAGACTTAGTCATAGTTCCTTTGACCTGAAAAGTCTGTGGATCCCACAGGTTCTAAGTAAATGATTGGGTGATCAGTGGAATGGTTACCCAGACGTTAGAACAGTATTTTTCTGTCCAACATTTTCTGGCCAACTATGCAGGTAAGTAACTGTCCAAAGACTCTGACTCTACCTCAGAGTCGCTGAATTTTTGGAAAACAGGGAAATTGCCTTTGTAAGTTCACCTTGAGGTCAACAAGTTGGCACTTCACTGGCATTCCAACGAACATCTTTACTCATATGTCCAATCTCCAACAACCTAGAGACTAGGAGATCAGGAGCAATTTGCTAGTCAAAGTCAAGTTCAGAAGCACTTCCAATCTGCTGTTTGAAACAATGTGTGTGTGTGGTCTATTCTCATTCAAATATGGCAAGTGCCTTAAACTACATATAAGATCATCCTGGCATATTAACTTTTTAAAAAGAGCAAGCAGCTTAGGTCATAGTTGGAGCACAGAGGTAACACTTTCTTGGGACCAGCTGTAAGGTGACCAGGGGTGTCTTTACCAGCACTGAGCAATGAGGGAGTCATCTGAAGTATTTTTACCCAAATCATTTGCATTGTAATTGCTCAATGCTGGGAAACAATAAGTGTAGAAATCTAAACTCCCATTTTGCCTTAAGTTATAAAACAAAATAGTTTTAATCATTGCCTCAGTGACCTATTGTTTTATACTTTAAGAACAAGAATAGAAGTCTGCCTGGGGACCTGTATTTTGCACAGAATTCTCCACTCCATAAAATAAAGTCATTGAGCTTTGAAATGGTCCCTGTCAGAAGAATTAGCACAATGTGCCAACATGACTTTTTCCTGTGCTAAAATGTTTATGGGCTGCTTCCAAGAAGTATGACAACCTAGCAACAGATTAGGAAATACTCAGCACAAGGCAGTGCTAAGCTATATTGACCAAGCTGAGCAAATGGCCCTGAAACACACACACACTTATATAATATTAAATAAAAGGATTTTGTTACAAAGGTTTTTTTGGTGCATCTCAAAACACTGCCAACATTTTTGTATTCTATTTTTAAGATTACTTCTGAGCACAAAAAATGAAGGAAAGTTTAAGAATTAAGATTAGAACTAACAAGAAAAGTTTGGCTTGCATCAATTCTGTGCTTCAATTGGGAGTATTTTCAGATACACATTCACAGAGAGTCAGTAGTATTGTCTCAAAAGCAGCAAGTGTACACCTGGATGTAGGTGTGAAAATTACACTGCAACACAGAACAATTATCAATACAGACTGGGTTACAATTGTTTTGAAGGTTTAAAAACAGGGCCTTACCTGATTCGTTCACTGTCTTTTTTCTTGAGTTCAGAATCCCTCTGAATAACTTTCAAGAGCATCTGATACTCATCCTCTGTCAGGAAACTGAGGTCCAGGTGACTATCCATCACTCCCTTCATTCCGTTATCGCATAACACAGGGTGAGGGTGGGGTTTGGTGTTATTGTAAACGCAAAGCAGCGCACAATTCCTGATGCTACTGCTGGATTCACTGAGAATATTAATATTCTAACCAATCCTGCATGATCAGAGTTGATCGTACATGCAGTTAGATAATAAATCCCAGCAATTCCTTTCCAGCCAGTATCAAGTTTCCTCAATAGCTTTCGGCCTTTTGGTTGCCAGATTAGTATCAAAGTGTCCACATCCAGGAATGATCAGACTTTTGCTGCAGATTAAGAGGGCTTTGATCAAAGCTTCAGTAGATTTTCATAAGAGCCTGAATGAATCACTAAGTGGTGCGCAAAAGGTAATGCTTATTATCAGCTTCAGATATCCAAATGCACCTAAAGCAAGAAAAATACAGATTATTGACTCAGTATTTATACATTAAAACATATATTGTGCTCAATACATCTTCTCAACAACAAATTATACTTACATATCAGCTTTAAGATAATAAAACATTACAACTTTCACCAGGCAACAGAATATAACAGCAACCTTAAAAGCAACTAATGCTTGACACATTTGTTATTTCCTGCTAGTTTTCCTGAACAAATCAACTTTAGTCCCAGTAGGATAAAGGAGAAATATTTCACAAGTCTCCAACACTTAAAATCAGGCATAATATTTTTGGTCCAGATGAAAATCCCACTGGTGACAGAAAAATATCAAATTACCCAGTAAACATTCCAGGTACATATCACATCTGAGAGGCAGACCCCAATGATCTTAAACTGTCTGGGTTTATGTTATAGATAAGGGTTGAACTGCAACACTACCATGAATACCAGTTTAGTTGGCACTGAACACAAGAAGACAAACAGTGTAACTGGCATTTAATTCTAAGCCTGGTTGTTAAGGAAAACAAGAGCCTACACATGCATGGGGGGAGGGGAAGTACAGAAAACACGTTAAGACATCAAATTAAATTTGAAATACACTCTATTCAAATACACAGAGTACAAGATAACTATCATGTGGTTTTTTTGGAGATTCATTTGAATTTTTATTCTCTGCCTGAACCTGCTTTGGTTGGGAAACTGGCAAGCTATCAAGCCTCTTGTCATACTGGTGCTGTGCAAAGTCCACTGGGTACAAAGTTTGGCTGCATAAGGTTCATCCTCCATCATCGAGGAGGATCAGGGAAAGGGTGGGGCGACAGCTGACAAAATAGCTTTCCCCTGCTCCCAACTTATAATACAGCTGACCATGGGTACTCCAATGTTAGAACATTGATGGCAGTAACAGGCCTATCCTACTCCTGAACTGTCTACTTGATCCAGGAAATGCGGCCCCTTCAGCCATTCCCAGAACTCGGTTTTTAAAATGAGTTTAAACTCAACAGGCTGCATTTATGAAGGAAGCTGAAGTCCTGCCACCAGATCTGAAAGTGGGAGGCGACCTCATAGTGGGGTCTCCAAGAGACATATATCCAGACTTGACCAGTTAAGTGGCTGTGCCCAAGGCTGCCAAATCTATTAGGGGAGTGGCCCATGCCCAAGAGCTACAGGTACAAATCGGGGAACTGGCAGCTCATCAGAGGTACTGCCAACAGGGGCTGCATCTGCTGATTGAGACACAGAATCAAACTGCCCTTGTGACTATCTATGTTTATAAACATATTTTGTGAATAAAGTATATTTTTGAAATAAAACAATTGATGGGCTTGCATCCTCAAAGATAGGTAGGTGGGGTTTAGGGATTCCACGATCAAGCAGACAGGTTCCCCACAGAAGTGCCACATGGACAGACATTGCTGCTGCAGTACCCCCTCTATGGGTCACAAATTGTCCAATAAAAGGAGGGCTCTCTCCCCAGTGTTTGCTGAGAGACTACCAGGTCTCATTAGATCGCCTCCCCATACTTGTCTGCCAGCTTTCCCATCACTGACCAAAATGGCATGATAGTAGGAAACTGCCAGGTATACCTCCCCATGTCATTTTGCCAGCCATCCTGCCCCCTTGCCTATACCATGAGGCCAGTAAAATTCCAACCAATGTTATTTAAAATCCCAGTTTTTCAGATACCCGATCAGTTCCTGACAGTAATTACTTGTTATTGAAACATTAGCAAATTCTCTATGACAAGGTTGCTCATAATTAACCTGCTTAGTTCACAAATTCAGAGGAATAATTCACAGTATATTAGTTTCTGCAATTCCTTTAAAACAGAAGAAATCAGCATTCTGATCGATGTTAATGTGATCCCAAATTGGAGTTGAAAAAAGTCAGCATGAGTGATAATTTCTACACCTTTCCTTTGTTTGAACGTACCTTCAAGTAAACCAGTAGGGCAGGGTGACCAGAAAGCAGCAAACAGTGCGTACAAATCAGCTTTCAGTTTTTTACCAGCTTTTAAAAAGAATGATTGATTTCTCATTATGATGACAGCGTGCATGCAAGGACAGATACAACTGTTATGGAAAAGTTCCAGACATGAAGACTTTGGTTAGTTCTTAAAACAAAAGTTAGCATTGTCCTTACCAGCTGTAGGTAAATCCACATGTTGCATCATAAATAAATGTCTCTACACACATGAGGGATTGGCTCTGCATTTTTTAATCCCATCAGCATGCCTGAACTTGATAATCTGAAGACCCAGTACCTTTCATATGAGAAAATTGCTAACAACACCATTTTTTTTAAAATTGTATAATTGTTTTAAAGAAGTTGACTTCTAGTTTGAGTATTTTCTGAGGTAATTTTTAGTTGTGGAAAGTTATTTTTCTTAAGACTGTAGGCGTCAGTTAACATACTAAGCAAACAAAGCTGCCATTATCCAGAAGGCAGGCAGGAGGATGGGAGGAGTCACACCTAAAGGTCTCAAAGGAACCAAAGACAATCACGGCCCCATTCCTCTGAACCACCTCTCCTTTCCAAGGCAGCTTCCCTGATTCTGTACTCATTCCCTGCCCCTAAAACTCACTCCAAACTCATTGCTGTCAACTATATGAACAGTTAAATCAGGTGTCATGATCACAGCAGGGATGTCCTCAGGGTGGTCTGTGAGCTCAGAATCTGTAAATGCTTCTATGTGGCTCTCATTTAGTTCTTGAGCTTTACATTAAAAAGTAACCAGCAGCTTTGCTGTTAAGCAAGATCAAGGTTACCTAATTGCAAGACTACTGCTGTAGTTATTTTAGTAAAAGTGATAAGGTTATTAGATTAAAAATACAAATGATACTTATAAAAATAAAAGCAACTTCAATCCCTAAGGTTGTAACAGGCCTGTTACTTCTTGGCATTTCTCTTTTTGAAGGGAAGGGGTTGAAACTTGAAGTGGGTAGAGGTAAAGCTACACAAATGTATAAAGTGTCTATAGTTAGCACAGGTATTGAAACTCATATTACGGTTGCAGTTACAACAAAATCTTTGATGATGATCTAAAGTGACACTTCCACTAAAGCTAGTCAGAGGTAAGAAACATATTTTTACTTAATGGTGGACATTAAAATTCACCAAAGATCCTTACACAGCACCTTCCAAATCCATGACCACTTCCAGCTGAAAGGATCAGGGCAACAGATACATGGGAACACCACCATCTGCAAGTTCCCCTCCAAGCCACTCACTATCCTGACTTGGAAATACATTGTGATGTTGTTGGGTCAGAATTCAGGAATTCCCACCCTAATGGCACTGTGGGTCTACCTACAGCATGTTGACTGCAGTGGTTCAACAAAGCAGCTCACCAGCACCTTCTCAAGGGCAACTAGGGACGGGTAATAAATACTGACCCAGCTAATGCCACGCATGTCTCACGAGTGAATAAAAAAAAAGCATGAGAAGGATAAGTCACTGAAAACAGATCTCCTGCAGTAATGTTAAGTAATTCAACAAATCTTAGCAAATAAAGATTACCAATTCACCAATCTCAAAACAAGAACGAAATGTATGGAATAAAATAACTCAAAATTGCTAAATAACTCTTGGATAAAAAAACAAAAGAACTGCGGATGCTGTAAATCAGAAACAAAATCAGAAGTTGCTAGAAAAGCTTAGCAGGTCTGGCAGCATCTGTGAAAAGAAATCAGAGTTAATGGTCCTGTTCTGAGGAAGGGTCACCGGACCTGAAACATTAACTCTAATTTCTCTTCACACATGCTGCTAGACCTACTGAACTTTTCCAAATAACTCTTGGAGTTTGGTTTTCAAGGTAACGCGTGTACAGATCATGTGATTTATTTACTTCCATTTTCTGTGCTTAATCTTCAGCAAAAATCCAAGTATTTGTTCATTCAAGGGCAAGTTCTTGCAAAATACTGCTTATTGGCAAGATAAGAAACATTAAACCAGATGCTTGGGTCAGGTTAAAAAGAACGTGGTAGAGTAAGGCATGTTATTTCCCTCAAATTTCCCCAATGGATTTCATAGTCATTTCTCCCTCTGGATCTAGCCTCTGGGACCATTGATTTAAATCATTAGGTGGAATTTTCCCATTTTTAGTTCAAGGCTTTTGTTGAGTGAGATTTCATTGTGCCTGGTCCACTATGGCTCGCAGCAACTTTCCTCATGAAATTTTCTGCTCCTTCCCTCACTAATTCTATTGGAATTTATTCTAATTCCTTCTACGGGAATCACATGGCAGAGAGACACGTCTGCTCACCACTGCCAGCAGTTCTGGGATTCATTCCACTGATGCCCTATTTAAAGCCCAGCTGCAAACCAATTCAGTCACTACAAGCCAGGAACTGCCCCTCATTCTGAGGTGCTCAACAATTCTCACTGAGCATGTGGCGCTGTAAGGAGAACTCACACCGCCATTTTGCTGCAGGGATCTGGAAGGAGCAATGGAGTGGAGGACTGGTCAGTCCCGTGCTCTGAGTTAAAAGAATTACCTAGCAGTGCAAGGAGGAGGACAAGGACCTTCTGCACGCTTCAAGAGTAAATACCAGAATCTTCCTCTGATACCTCACACTCACAGAGCACCCTGCTCACTAACCTTGCCACTGCACATGCACTTCATTCAGATTCATGGACAACTCTCAGAATTGTATGTACAATGTCCACTCAATGACTCTCACTCTCAACCCAAACAAATAACCCTTCCTGCTCTCTGTGCTTCCTACTCCTTCACTGTCATCACGACCCTGATGGAAAAAGTGATCTGGAAATCAAGCTCCTCTATTCCATGAGTTGCCGCCGATGTGAAATATGACTAATTTAATTACTGGGATAGTTTATGTCTGACTGTGAGTGCTATTTAAGCTAAAATAAACTCACACCAGGTTTCATCAATGAACAAAAAACCAAAAACTGTTCACTATAGTGAACATCCTCTTACATATGGGAAAATGGATTATTAATTACTCAGATGGAAACTTAAACTATAGCCCCTTTTA